TGCACCAGAGGGCCAGGCAGTGACTCACGCCTATAATCCTAGCACTCTGGGAGGCTGAGGCAGGTAGATTGCCTAAGCTTACAGGTTAAAGACCACCCAAGGAACAGTGAGACCCTGTGTCTAAAAAAAAAAAAAAATAGCCAGTCATTGTGGCAAACACCTGTAGCCCAGCTACTTAGGAGGCTCAGGCAAGAGGATCACTTGAGCCCAAGAGTTTGAGGTTGCGGTGAGCTATGATGCTATGGCACTCTATGGAGGGCGATGAAGTAAGACTGTCTCAAGAACAGACTAGACTAGACTAGAATAGAATAACTGAACAATAAAAAGACAAATAACCCAAGGCAGCACCTGTGGCTCAAAGGAGTAGGGTGCCAGCCCCATATGCCAGAGGTGGCAGGTTCAAACCCAGCCCCGGCCAAAAATTGCAAAAAAAAAAAAAAAAAAAAAAAAAGACAAATAACCCAACTTAAAAGTGGGCAAAGGATCTGAACAGACGTATCTCCAAATAAGATACACAATGGCTTATAAGCGCATGAAAATATGCTCAACATCATTAGTCATCAGAGAACTGCAAATCAAAACCACAATGAGATACTTACACCACTAAGATGGCTAGAATGAATAACAAGCATCAGCAGGCACTGGCAAGGCCATGGAGGAAGTGGAGCCCTCATATATCACTGATGCAAATATAAAATGGTACAGTGGCTTTGGGAAACCGTCTGACAGTTCCTCAAGTTGTTAAACATTGGGATTAACAGTTAAATCATATGACCCATCAATTCCACTTCTAAATATATACCCAAAATAACTAAAAACATTATTTCCACATAAAAATTCATATATGAAAGTTCGTAGCATTATTCATAACAGCCAAAAAGCAGCAACAACCCAAATATCCATCAATTCATGAATGGATAAATTAAATGTAGTACATCCCCATAACATGGACAAACCTTAAAACATTATACTAAGTGAAAGAAACTAGAAACAAAAGGCCGCATATTGCCCAATTCCATATAAAATATCCAGAACAGACAAATTGATAGAGACAGAAAGTAGATTAAATAGTTGAGAAGAATGAGGAGGCAAGTACAGAGCTTCTCTTTGGGGTGATAAAATGTTGTAGAATTAGACAGTGATAACAGAGTGGAGCCTGTGGCTCAAGGAGTAGGGTGCCAGCCCCATATACCGGAGGTGGTGGGTTCAAAACCGGCCCCAGCCAAAAAAAAAAAAAAAAAAAAAAAAGACAGTGATAACAGTTATACAACCTTGGAAACTACTAAAAACCTACTGAATTATATACTTAAAAGCATCGATTTTATGGTATATGGCCAAACCATAAGTGTGGATCATTTACCAATAATAATGTCCACTTCTCATTTCAGTCAGAGACAAGACTGACCCAAGTAAAATGGGTATTTATAATAAGCAGTAACATAATTCTTTTTTTTCTTTTTTTTTTTTGAGACAGAGTCTCACTTATTAACCCTTGGTAGAGTGTGTGGCATCACAGCTCACAGCAACCTCCAACTCCTGGGCTTAGGTGATTCTCTTGCCTCAGCCTCCCAAGTACCTGGGACCACAGGTGTCTGCCACAACACCCAGCTATTTTTTGTTGCAGTTTGGCCGGGGCTGGGCCTGAACCCACCACCCTGGATATATGGGGCTAGCGCCCCATCCACTGAGCCACAGGCATTGCCCTACATAATCTTTATTTTATATTCCATTATCTCCAATCAACCTCATCCAAAAGTTCACATATACATGATCATTACCAAAAAAATCATTGATATATTTTCCTAAGTAAACAAGCAAATCTTCCTTTTTTTTTTTTCTTTTTCTTTTTTTAGAGACAGAGTCTCACTCTGTTGCCCTGGGATTTGAGTGCTGTGGTGTCATCATAGTTCATAGCAATCCCAAACACTTGAGCTCAAGTGATCTTCATGCCTCAGCTTTCCAAGTAGCTGACTCTACAAACACCCGCCACAATGCCCAGCCTTTTGCTCAGGCTTGTCTGGAACTCCTGAGCTCAAGCAACCCGCCCACCTGAGCCTTCTAGAGTGTTAGGAGTACAGACATGAGCTATCATAACTGGCCTCTTCCTCTAACTTTTTCTTTTCTTTTTTTTTTTTTTTTTTTGAGACAGAATCTCTCCGTCATCCTCGGTAAATGCCATGGCATCATCATAACTCATAGCAACCTCAAACTCCTGACCTCAAGCTATCCTCTTGTCTCAGCCTCCAGAGTACCTGGACCTATAGGCACCTGCCACAATACTGGGCTATTGCTCGGGCTGGTCTTGAACTCAAGCAAATCCACCCACCTTGGCCTCCCAGAGTGCTAGGATTATAGGCGTGAGCCACCTGGCCCAGTCTTCTTTTCTAACTTTTAAGGCCAGGTACAGTGGCTCACCCCTGTAATCCTAGCACTCTGAGAGGCTGAGGTGGGTGGATTACTTGAGCTCATGAGTTTAAGAACAGCTTGAACAAGACCAAGACCCCGTCTTACTAAAAAAAATAGAAAAAAATTCTTTTGGTTCAAAATCAACCTTGTAAGATTATATTACCAAATTAATCAGGGAAAAAAAGAACAAAGTATTTTTTTTCTTTGACACACAGTCTCTGTTGCCTAGGCACCTAGAATACCATGGTGTCAGCCTAGCTAATAGCAACCTCAAACTTCTTGGTTCAATTGATCCTCCTGCTTCAGCCTCCTGAATGAGTAGCTGAGACTACAGGCACCCGCCATGACAGGTGGCCAATTTTTATATTTTTCTAGTAGAGATGGGGTCCCGTTCTTGCTCATTCTGGTCTCAAACTCCTGAAGTCAAGTTATCTTCCTGCCTCGGCCTCCCAGAATCTAGGATTACAGGCCTGAGCCACCACACTCAGCAGAGTAGGTTTAGGTTATTTGGGGGGGTTTTTTTGGAGACAGAGTATCATTATGTTGTAGTAGAGTGCTGTGGTGTCACAACTCAGCAACCTCAATTGCTTGGGCTTAAGCGATTCTCTTGCCTCAGCCTCCCAAGTAGCTGGGACTAAAGGC